TTTATCCCAGGATCATGTGAATTACTCACTATAATCCCTGTTTCCTCTAAGACTTTAAGATATTGCACTTCCATATCACTGGTTTCCTGTTCATGAAAGGGTTTTGAACAAAGCAATATTATGCCTTAAGGCCCAGTTCTCATAGCTGTACTTTAGATAGTGGGGGAAGAGTGTGTGTGTGTGTGTGTGTGTGTGTCACATTGCTGGATAGGCCTCCATACAAAAACCTAAGGGTTTCCCTTGCTCAAAAGCCAGTCAAATCCGACTCTAGGGGGTGGTGCTCATCTCTGTTTCCAAGCCGAAGAGCCAGCGCTGTCTGAAGACTTTTTCCGGCATCACGTGGCTGGCATGACTAAACACCAAGGCACACAGAATGCTGTTACCTTCCCACCAAAGCGGTACCTGTTTATCTACTTGAAATTCCTTGCTTTCGAACTGCTAGATTGGCAGGAGCTGGGGCCAGAGATGGGAGCTTACTCCATCATGTGGCACTTGGGTCTTGAACTGAAATTTCTGGAGAAGGGGTTGCTAGTAGGGTTGCCACCCCCCAATGGGGACAGGGGTTCCCCCACTCTCAGTGGGCCCAAATTGCCAATGGCCAGCTGGCTGTCAGGGGAGCCATGCCCTGAAGAGCCTCATCATGCCAGGCATGTTGAATGAGGGATGCTCTAGCATTTGGGTTAAAACTCTATGGTGACCATAGAGTTCCCCCCAAAAATGCTAGAGTGCCCCCTGCACAATGTGCCCGGTGCGATGACATCACCTCTGGGTGATGTCATTGTGGCACACACAAGAAGCATGTGCATCAGAAGATCCGAGAACCAGGCAGGAGAACCCCCTCTGGCAGTCAGGTAAGACCTGGCAACTCTAGTTGCTAAACCTTCCGGTGCAGGCCTGGGTCCCCTGCCACCAGGCCCTACCCTCCAGCTGGCCAGTGGGGGGGCTTACCTGTAGAAAGAGGAAGGCCCCGACCATGTTGCTGGCATCACACAAGAAGTGACAATCATGCCAGCAACTTCCAGGAAACACTGTGGTATTTGGACAAAAACTCTATGGTAGAAGATGGTTTTACTATAGAGTTTTTGCCCAAATACCAGAGCATCACCCACAAGTTGCTGACATGATGATGTGACTTCCTGTGTGATGCCAGTGATGTGGCACTGACCTTTCTCTTTCTTCTGGTAAGTCCCCTCATCCTCCAACCGGGCAACCCTATGCAGGAGGGTGGAATCTGGGGAGGAATAGAAGCTCAATACATATGTGATGTTATAGAATCTTCCGTTCATGCCATTTTCTCCAGGGGAATTGATATCTGTAGTCTGGCTATCAGTAGTGATTCCAGGAGAATTCCAGGTTCCATCTTGGCAACCCTAGCATCTCCCTTATAAATAAAAGCCGAACGGTGGTGGCACTTCTCTAGAACATTCCACACACTCCAGAATTGGTTGGTACCCTGGTGTGTCACTCAGAATCTGTCCCTATCCACTGGCTGCATTGCTTGAGTCTTGCCTTCAACATTCTAAACATTTTGCTGTTCCTCTCCCCCCCATAGCCAGAGGTTATTTGCATATGCAGCCTCATTGGCCTTTGCCTCGGAACACAGAGGTCGTTTGCATATGTGACTTGATTGGCTTTTGCCTCTAACATTCTAAACAGTTTGCTGTTCTGAGGTAAAATGTGTCCAATCTCCAGGTGAGGGCTGGAGATCACTCAAAATTACAACTGCTCTCCAGATGGCAGAGATCAGTTCCCCTGGAGAAAATGGTGGGCTCTGTATCCTTATATGCTGCTGAGGTGGCCCCCGTATGACAGCCAATGTGACATAGCAGTCAGGGCTTCAGAGCA